AATAAATGGGATATAGTCACCTCTGCTCTAAACTAGCATTCCATGACCCACTCTCAGTCCTTCCTTACGTGGTCTGTGCCATGAAGTCATCATAGAGACAGCGTTGGCGCTTGGAGAGTCGGCAGCGGATAACATGCTCATACTTTTTAGGCATCTGCTTCTCAACATCCACCTTAACCCGACGCAGCAAAAAAGGCCTCAAGACCTAAAAGAATTAAGCAGGAGGCTGACAGGAATGGGGGCACTGACTCCCAGTCTAGCCCCTCTAGTTGGTCTGATGACTGGCTGAGTGCTGACTTAGCCCACCCATAAACATGTATGGAGCCATGCAGTATGCCAGGAACCAAACACACAAAGATAAGTCAGATACACACCCTCCTCGCAAGGATTTACTGTCTGGTGAAGGACACAGACATAAAAATAATATTCATGATATGAAAGGAAGCTCGGGTGGCAGAGCAACCAACCATGCAGGGGGGAGGTCTCAAACATTTCAAGGAGTCACTGCAATTTTACAAGATTATTATAGTAAATACAGGAAAAAAACAAGAATAAAAATTGTGGCAGTTGGGGCCTTCCTGGTGGCACAAGGGGTTAAGCACAGCACAATGAAGCTACCAGCAATCTCTGCAGCAAGAATTCGATCCAAGCTGGCCAGGGAGCTACCCACATGGTGCAGTAGACCTCTCCACTGTCTCACCTGCTGCTCCCCTCAGCAGTGTATTTCAGTATATCTGCCTGTTCTGCTCCCTACTGTCTCTGGTGAATCCTCTAACCACCCGCATCTCTGGCCCGTACCCCAGTTCTTGTATGCATAAATAAATAAATCTTTTAAAAAAAAACTGTGGCAGTGACATGCATAGAAAACAAAAGGCTAACTGAGATTTTAGAAGGTGAAATGTGATAGGTCAGTCTTTACGCTAATGTGAAAAAAAGTGAAGGGAAATAAAATGAAGGAAGAGGTAATTGTTGAGAAAAACTTCATGGTTTCCAGTTCAAGAAGCCAAAATGATGGTGCAATTAACGAAAAGATATAGAACGTTTAGGCTATAAGGTTTCAGAACTTTGGCTTAGAACTGACAGAATTCAAGAGGAACTTTCAAAGACATCGAGTCAGAAATTTAAAATGCAGGATGAGTGATCTATAGACAGTGAAAGGATTAAGGATACCAATTGGGGGATCTTTATCACAGAGAAAATAGCCAAAATATTATGAGTATTGAGATACATAAATTAAGAGACAAAAAAGTAAAGATCCAAATGCAGAAATGTTAAATTTAAGAGCGAGACAAAAAAAAAAAAAAAGGAGTCCATAACCAAAACAGAGAGTATGCATAACCTCCGAAATACCAAGCTGAGGCAAGCCAATAGAGACAAAAAAAAAATTCAAGCAGGAACTAATCAATAGTATCATTCTATTCAGATAATAAAGACAGAAACGTCACCATTAAGGAAAGCAAGCAAAATAATGACAAAGATGAGGTTACTCAAGGTGGCAAAGGGTAGTCACTGCACCTTGACAAGTGGGTGAGTTCAATCTAGTGAAGACTTTCCTCTCCCTAAGCATTTTCTTGGTATTGCCCTGATAAACCGTTACAGACCCTACCTTATGAAGGCGTTTCACTAGACCTTCATTGTACTCTTGGCTGCCCTCAATCATGCCAGTTAGGGGGTTAGAGAACCACTCTTTGAACTCTCGGTGAGACTGGAAGACATGGGGCATCAAAAAGTGCATCAAGGACCACAACTCCATGAGGCTATTCTGCAAGGGAGTTCCTGTGAGGAGCAGGCGCCTCTGGCTGCAGAGAGACAGGAAATTAAAGAGAAGATGGTCAGCAAGACCCCAAACTTCCAAGCCCCACCCTTCAGACCAAGTCAATACTTGCACAAATGCCCATCTCCACCTGTTGAAGTTGAGCAGTGACTGCCAGCGCTGTGACTTGAAGTTCTTGATGTTCTGAGCCTCATCCAGAATGAGATAGCGCCAGTTTTTGCGGCGAAAGGCCTGGTGGTCCTGCAGCACCAGCTTGTAAGATGTGATACACACATGGAAGGCATTGGGCTTGGTCCAGCCCTGAGATAGCAAAAGAAAGCAGCAGAGAAAGGGGTGAAAAGCAAAGAAAAGGCAAAGTGAAAATGTGCTAAGATCCTCAAGGAATACTAATCAGTTTGGGAGAAAAGAATTCATAAAATAGAATGGAGCAACAGATATGGGAGGAAACTCATTAAAGGGCAAGGCCTAAAAGTAAAGGAGACATCATATGCGGAAGGGGGTATGAGAGTGATCACTTGAAGGAACAAACCTGCCGCTTAAGCTTCCTCTCTTTCTGTGCTCCATAATAAGTGAGGATTTTAAAGCTGGGGCACCAACGTTTCAGCTCCATCTCCCAGTTTAACATCACACTGGTGGGGACAATGATCAAATGGGGACCCCAGTTACCTGTTTAACAAAAGAATGAGGTATGTTAAGAAAATATAAACTTTGAGGTTCTGTTTGTTCAGGTATAACCCTGACCAGTCTATTCTAATGGCCTTCCTAAAAATCTGGGCACCTATACTGGCCTTTCTATACAGCTACTGACAGCATCAATGACTCTACTAACAACAAGAGTGTTTCACCATCCTACAGTTTCCCATAGAGTTGGTTTACAGGAGCCCAAGAGGAAGGGGCCCTGTCTAGTTACCTTTCTCATAGGCCAAATGGGCAAGCAGTGAGATGGTCTGGATTGTCTTGCCCAGTCCCATCTCATCAGCAAGAATACCATTAAGCTTCTTCTCATACATAGTAACCAGCCAGTCCAGCCCAATGTGTTGGTACTCCCGGAGCTGGCCTCGAAGGAGCAAAGGAATGGGTGTCTTCACCTGGTAGGAAGGGATATTAAGGTGGAATTGAGGCATTTGTCACTGAGAAATAGGAAAGTCTAGATATAAGAAAGCTTAAGTTGGGACCTAGCAATACCTGGGTAGTAGCCAAGGTGTAACCCTTAGGCTGGAGACTTTCAGCAGCTGCAGCAATATCAGTAATTTCTTTCTTAGGGCCGAGAGTAGTGGTGGGCCCTGGGGTGGGAGGGCCACTGCCCCCATCCGCCTCACTCTGTTCTTCATCCCGGGCAAGCAAGTACTCCACCCCAAAGTCGTCATCTTCCTCCTCTTCCTCATCTGCTTGGCTCTGTGACTGAGAATCCTCAGACTCCTCAGACTCTGATTCCTCTGATTCTGAACTCCCGCTTGTTTCTTCCTCCTCCGAATGATCATCATCATCATCATCATCCCCACTCTGCTCCCCAGCAGAATCTAAAGCACAAGACCAAGATTTAGTGCTCACCAGTGCCTGCTGCTTCAGTGCCTGTCCTCCATAGCTCTTGCCTCATGAACATACCTTCACCTGACTGACTGCTACTATCCTCTTCCGGAGCCTCTTCAGCTTCTGTGACGCCCTCTGGTTCACAGTCAGAGCTGTTAGCCTCATCTTCATCTTCCTCTTCACTACTTACAGATTCTGGGGCAGAGGCATCAGAAGCATAAGCTCCTGCATACTGCTGCAGTAGCTCCTCCATAGACAATTCACCTGGAACAAAAAAGAAGGGTAAGCTTTTGGTTGCTTTGAGCAGGAGAGAGAAGGGACGTCTGAGCCAAGCCAATTCATCCCAGGTCCTGTGTAACTGACAGTCCCATATCAGAGGGGAGGCTAAACAGCTTATCTTCAGGACCAGCTACTAAAATCAAGTCCCACAACCTGGGTTAGAACTGTGCTGCCTTCTGCGGAAAAGGACATTAACAATCTGAGAAACCTCCCCTTAAAGTTCAGATCAGGGGGCCTCCCTGGTGGCCCAAGGGGTTAAGTCTCAGCACTATTAAGCTATCGACAGCCACTGCAGCATGAGTTCAATCCCCAGCCAGGGAGCAACCCACATGGCACAGCAGACCTCTCCTGTCTCACCAGTTACCCCCCTCAGCAGTGTATTTCAATCGATCTCCCTATTCTGCTACCACTCTGTCTCTGGTGAATCCTCTCACAACCCCCATACCGCACCTCTGGCCTACACCCCATCTTTTGAATGAATAATTAAAAATAAAATTTTTTTTAAAAAAAGTTCAGATCAAACACTGCCAACATCCTTTTACAATATAAGTTCTCTCCACTGAGCTCTCATATCACTTTAAATTTCCATCATAACTGCCTCCCCAGTGGCGTAGGGGGTTGAGCTCAGTGCTGTCCGCAGACTCTGCAGTGCCGGTTCGATCCCCGCCAGCTGCGGAGATGCCCACATGGAGAACCAGACCTCTCCTGTCTCGCCTGCTGCTCCCCTCAGCAGTGTATTTCATCAGTTTGCCTGTTCTGTTCCCCGCTCTGTCTCAAGTGAATCCTTTCACCCTCCTGCACATCTGGCCTGTAACCGATTCTTGTATAAATAAATCTTCAAAACTAAAAAAATTCCATCATAACCATTCATCACATTCTGATATAATTATTTATACAAGTGTCTTTGTTCATAATCCTGGAGTTTCTCCAGAGGTGATAAAGTGTTTTTTATTCATCCCTTTACCTCTACCACTCTACACAAAGGAGATATCAAGTGAATGCTCTCAGTAAACTGTCACCTTCTCGAGCCAATTCGCTCAGTTCCATGGCATGATCCACCTCCCCTTCCAACTGCTCCTCAGCTGCTATGGTATCCTCTTCATCCTCCGCTAGGAAAGATAAAGCAAAATGAACAGGGAAACACAACCCATGACATTAGTTTAAGAGGTTAGAAAGTCTGAAAGATCAGATCCAGACAATTGAAAAGGTAAGGGGTAGTACGATTGGAAACAATCTAACCTTCATCCTCATTGGCAGTAAACTCTTCATCATCTTCATCTGGATGCCAATGCTGTTTGTTGCGCTGTGTGACAGAAGGTGGGGCTTTTACCTACATGGCGAAAGGTGAAAAAGGAGCAGGCCTATGGTTAGAGAGCAGCAGAAAGGTATCGTGTCGAATAAGTTAGCAAAGAACAATTTCTGTCTCATTCATTGACAGCTGCCACTGGCACAGTATCAGGGCAAGGATGTAATCAAGGATTTTCTCTTAGCACCAGCTACCAAATCCTGGCCCCACTGCCTGGGGAAGGACCTGTGAAAGTGCTAGCTAAAAAGTACAGACTGTCAACACTGTTTCCATGCATTCATAGGAACAAGTAAGAAAGTTTAGGTCTCAAAGACACTACATACAGATTACATCCCAGCTTCAAACCTACAAATCATTAAGAGGCCCATTCATACAACAAACAGGGCCAGAATATGTACTTTTTCACTTTCCCACTACAGCATCACAAACACTGTCCACCTCCAAATGCAACTTACCCCAAACTTAGATTCTTCATTACCCATTCCCAAGTAAGAGTCCAATTATCTTTAACCAGGAAAGACTACTAAATATAACTTTGCAGACCACAACTCAGTCCTTGAACCTCCTCCTCTACACCCAGTCTGAGCCTTCCCTCTACCCCTTCTGCTTATACCTTCAACATTTGAGAGGGCTCTTCTTCACCACCTTCTTCAGGTCCATCTCGGGTATCACTATCATGAGATGAGGGGCTCCTTGAGGGGCTAGAAGGCCCTCCTAGCAGCTGAGGGGGGAGAGAGCGGAGCAGCTCTTCCAGTGGCAATTCTCCCTCATGTCGAAGTAGCTCAATCTCACGCCTCTGGGTCTCTGCATCATTTCCTTCCTGTTGTTCTTCAACCTCAATCGTCTCTTCATCATCCTCTTCCTCCTCCTCCTGGGGTTGGAAGTCCCCATCTATAGCAGGAGAACAAGGTCACAAAGTCCACGGGGCCCTGCAAGCCACAGGGTGGGTTTTCAGCTCTGGAAAGGGTACATGAGGAAGAGTAACAGAGCCAAAGAGAACACACACCTTCATCATCTAGCCGGGAAACGGGGGGTGGAGGACTAGAGGCAGCTGAGGAAGAGCCAAGGCAAGGGGAGGAGCCAGCTTTGCTGAAGCTCGCTAGAGGCTGGTTGAGGCTCTGCGACAGAAGGTCTGAGTACTTTTCAGTTTGCCCCACAATGAAGTCCAGATGCAGGTCCAGAGCTTTTTTGCGCTTTTCCTCAAGTCGGGATTGTTGTTTGAATTGCACCACCTGCCACAAGTATGAAATGGAGGGTTCATCAAGATAATCTTTTTATTTGGGGCCTCACTTGCGCTATGTTTACAGGAAACTCATCCATGCTAAGTCCTAGGCTGGCCTTTTTGAGGGGAACGCTAAGTAACATTAAGGGTGCTTCTGACGAAATCACAAAGGGGGCACAAGGGAGGGAAGAATCAACTTAGCCTCAAGCAGCAGGGTAAGATTTGCAAATATACCGGGGCTAAGTAGGTGTTTCCTAAGTAGAAACAAGGAGAAAGGCATTTGATTTGCAAAAGCAGAAAGAGCATGGGTAAATAACCAGGAATGTGCAAAAGAATGTTCAAAGTGGAAAAGAAGTAAAGAAACTGGGGCCTCCCCAGTGGCGCAGCGGTTGAGCGCTGGGCTGCGAAGCTGCCCGCAGCCTCTGCAGCACGGGTTCAATCCCCGGCTGCCGGGCGAGGGTCCCACATGGCACACAGACCTCCCCTGCTGCCCGCTGCTCCCCTCAGCAGTGTACTTCAGTCTGCCTGCTCTGCTCCCCGCTCTGGCTCTGAATTCTCTCACCCTCCCGTGCTTCTGACTATACCCAGTGCTTGTATAAATAAATAAATCTTTAAAAAAAAAAAAAAAAAAAAGAGGTAAAGAAACTGTTAGGAGGCAAGACTGAAAATACATACGGAAACCAGGTGGTTCTTTTGAAACAATTACAATGTAATATAAGGGAACAATTTAATAAATGAGAATTCTGTTGGTATTTCAGCAGATAAATAGCACAAATAGGTTTTAAGAAAAACATGCTGAATGCACTGCAAAGGACAGGAACTGGGGGGGTATCAAGAAGTGCAATTAACAATCCTCAAAAGATGGGGAAATAATTTTCCATTGTACTTCTTTCTTCTCATAGCACTTAATGCCAGAAAGGCTGAATGCATAAGAGAAACATCATTAGAGTTGCTTCAAATTATAGCAGTCACTCCCTTAAGAAGTTTTGATCTTTCCTTCTACCATGATACCCACACCAATCTAACCCCATCCATATTCCTTTCCCAGTCCCTGCTAGCTACCTTCTCCACATTGCTCCAGAACTGCCTGACATCCTTAGCCATTGTAGAGGCGATTCGCCGCAGTTTGGCCTGCTCTTCCCTCCGGGCACGTTCCTCTTTCTGCCGCTGCTCCTCATGATGTCTGATTACCATGCGCACCACCTGTGAGAATGAGGCACCCACAGGAAAACACCCCAAAGTCAGGTATCTACTCCCTCCCTAAGAGCAAAGAAAATACTCAAGACCAAGAATCTTGGGAAGTCAGAGATTGCCTCTTGAAACTTTACCCTCTTCCGTATGGGTTCCTTCTAACCAACCCATCCATCAAGGAAAAGCAAACCTGAAACAGAAAGAGGAAGGTGGGCCCCGCTGACAACCTACCTTACGGGCCACACCTCGTTTCCAACGGCGCTCCTGAGCAAAGTCAGCAGAGAGCCACTGCATCTCCTCACATAGATAGTCCCAGTGGCCTTTGGGGCGGGGAGGCTCTGGCACTTTAGGCAGCCTCTTCAGTGACCAGAAACCCTCCTTCCGCAATTCAGCAATCCGAGTCTCAATCTCAGCTTCCTAACAAGGGAGAGCTAGGTCAATCAAGTTACTGCACATATGTTCATGGCCATGGCCAAATTCCTGTGCACTGACTAGGTTTAGCAACTGATTGGACTGAGTGTTTTATATTTGTCTTAAATCCAAGTCCCAATCCTGTAAATAAGTGTTATACACTCTTTAGGTGAGTTTAAAAAAAAAATCAGGAAGATTAAGTGATTTACTTGAGATCTCTTAGCCAAGATGTAGTAAGAGCTAGGAATTAAAAATAGATCTAATAGCGCCAAACACCAAATTTCATGCTATTTACATTATTTCACAGACCCTCCACACCCAAGAATATAAGCAAGACTTGGGAAAATGTATTCCAAGGAGCGCTTCCTGGAGAAGCAGGTAGCACGTGCTTCCTTACTGACTCTAGCAAAGGTTCTTTATCACTGTAGAATTCTACTTACTCAAGTTATGTTCACATTTAGAATATACTATAATTCACATTTACACAATCCTGTTTCTGCTTTTAAAATACACAATTTTTACAAAACTGTACTTATTTCCTGTTGAAAATACTGAAGAGTTATACACAGAAAGATTAATAGCAATTAGACTCACCAATTTGTAAGAAAAAAATAACACATTTGAAATTTTTTTTTTTTTACTTAATAAAGGTAACTAAAATACAGGACAACTACCTTCATTATCCTTGTCCCTTTCCTGGAAAAAAAAAAAATCAGAGGAAATAACAGCCAGAGATGAGACAGAGAACTAAATGACCTAATGGGTATCAAACCAACAGCTCTAGCATGCATCAGAATCATCTGGAGTGCTTTTTAAGACAGAATGCTGGACTCCACACTGGAGTTTTAAATGGGCAGATGGAGAAGAATACCAATATTTTTCATTTCTAGTAAGTTCCTAAGTAATGCTGATGTTACTGGTCTAGAGTCCACACTTACCACTGGATATATGTAACAGAGGCTATAGGATAGAAATGAGAAGCAGAAACCATTAAGTGTTAAGAGCCTCACAGTCTACAAAGAACTTTCATGTCTACATTCTCTTTTAGTTTAAATACAATAAGCAATAGACTGTAACACCCACCATCCCTATTTTATAGAAATGAAAACAAGGCACAAAATTCAAGCTAGATGCTCAAGATCATCAGGGTCTATACTCTAAATCTACAAGGAAAAAATGTAAACTACCCGCGAGACATAAGAATTCAGAGAAAAATATACCCAAAATCCTCGTGGGCTTTCCCAATACATACGTGCTTGGCCTGTTCTGCAATCTCAGCATGGCTCTTCTCCCATTTGGGGCCCTTGTTAGCCAGGTCAGCAGCTTGGGGTAAGCTGAGCCCCTCCAGGGGCACTGTGGCACCATCTGGGGGCCCTGGAGGTCCATCCAGAGAGGAATCTTGAGCTATATGCTGGGGGGAGATGCCACCTGCCCCACTAGAGGATGGGGAACTGGATGAGGCAGGGGACACAGGATTACTGCCTGTCATGCCGTCCGACACCATCTAGAAAATGGGGGAAAAATAGATAAAATGAATGCTTAGCATTGTACCAGGAGTTTTAAGTACATTACTTGACTCTATCTTCAAAAGAAACAAACTATAAAGTATCTACCTTGCTTTCATAAACACAAACATTTGTGCTAAGATATTTTAAGGTACTCGAGATGACAGAGCCAAGTTGATAGATGTGTGACATACAAAAGGAATGGTCTAACATTTACACTTCCCAAATTCAAGAATACTACCATAGCCTATGATTCCAAATTTCACCATCATTTCAGAACCTCAATGATTTAACTCATATAAACTCCCTATTTTTCACAGCAAATATGGCAAATTCAACCAATGCAAATAAATTTGAGATACCAACACATTCAAAAGGCATCCAAAAACAAAACAAAAACCCTGTATCTCTCTTTGTTCAACATTTATCACCACTTTTGGTAGTTTCCTCAACCGGGGGAGTTGACAGGGGGGATACTGGTTATTGTTTTCAAACACCTATCTAACAACTTACAAAGTACTAGACAAGTGGTAAGAAGTTGAAAACAGGGCCTCCCTGGTAGCCCAGGGGTTAAGTCTCAGTGCTACCACCGCCACCACCTACCACAGAGGCCTGAGTTCGATCCCTAGCCAGAGAGCTAACCCACATGTGATGCAGCAGACCTCTCCTATCTTGCCCGCTGCTCCCTTCAGCAATGTGTTTCAGTAAATCCGCCTGTTCTGCTCCCCATTCTGTCTCTGGTGAATCCTCTCACCTGTGCCCCCTGCACCACTGAGCTACACCCCAATTCTACACAAAAATAAATAAAATCTTAAAAAAAAAAAAGGCTGAGAACAAAATACTACTTAAATACAGGTAATGAGGGAAGACATGAAATTCATTCTTACATGCCACACCATGTGCGACTCAAC